CCTAGAAATCTAGTCCGGTTTGGTGACCTGCTCCAGCTGAACCTGACCCATCAGCCAGAGCCCAGGCAATTTCCTGGAGCATCCAATGAGATTCTGCCATTTTCCATGTAGTGTTTTTAGTGCAGGTTATTCCATACCATTTGCTTCAACTATTATTCTAAAGCCCGGTGGAGGCGGCAGGGCACAAACAAAAGCAGAAGAGGAGTGGGGGTTTTTTCTGATTTCCCCACACATGCCTTTATTGCCCTGTACCACTTTTAGCATTGTTTTGGGGACTGTTCCCAACCTTCTAGAACAGCATGACAGTTTCAAGGGTAGAGGAGAATTAGAGAAAATGGCTACACTTCCCTTGTTCTCTAGTGCCAGTGGAACTCCACTGAATGCAAGTCTAGCTCCAGCCTATTACATCTAAATTTCCTCCAGTCTTTCAGACTTGAACTTTCCATTTTATTTTCTCTTTCCCTGACTGCCTTGCTGTTTGTCATTCTGACAGGTACTTGTCTTCTGAAAACCCTAGGTAGCATTTAGAAGGAATAGTGGGGCCAATGCATATAAGAGGAAATACTTGGAAATATAGAGCTGTTGTCTTGTCTCCACAATACATTGTTAGACAAATAGGTAACTTTGGAACATATGATGAGATTGATGGTTCTGTCAAAGTTATATAACACCACCTTTTGCTTGAGAAAAAAACAAGAAGCAGCTCTTAAGTGCTGCATCCTTATGTTTTATCACAGTAATCAATAAGCACTGTAAATGTAGAGTCTTTACTACAGATCCATTTATAGGGGGTAGCATAATGTGCAGGGAAGCAGCTGTTATGATTCTGACTTGTTTCTTACCAACTGGACTCATTAGTCCACTGGAATACTAACTTTAAGGGCAGGTTAAATACTAATATTTTATTCTTTATGATTTAATGAAAATTGATTCTTCCACTTCCTCAGTTTTGACTTGTCTGTATTTTGTGTGTTTTTATTTGTTTAAAATGAAAAGAAGAAATGAAGTTGACCTATACAGAGAATAAGGGATGAAATAGGAAAGTTTACATATATAACCTGTGCAAATTCTAAATACATATAAGCAGGATCTGCAATGAAATTTTGCTGGGCAGAATGTCCCTATTGCTTGCCCTTATCCAAGATACTCCATTCCATTTCCAACTGATTTTCCATTGTTTCCCCTCCAATAATCAGCCCCTATTACTAAAAAGCAGAGACATCACCCTGCCAACAAAAGTGTATATAGTCAAGGCTATGATTTTCCCAGTTGCAATGTATGGCAGTGAAAGTTGGACCATAAGGAAGGCTGAGTGCCAAAGGATTGAAGCCTTTGAATTGTGGTGCTGGAGGAGACTCCTGCGAGTCCCTTGGACAGCAAGGTGATCAAACTGGTCAGTCCTAGAGGAGATCAACCCTGACTGCTCTTTAGAAGGCCTGATACTGAAGATGAAACTCAAATACTTTGGCCACCTAATGAGAAGGAAGGACTCCCTGGAGAAGAGTCTAATGCTGGGAACAATTGACGGCAAAAGAAGAAGGGAACGGCAGAGAATGAGGTGGCTGGATGGAGTCACTGAAGCAGTTGGTGTGAGCTTAAGTGGACTCAGGAGGATGGTGGAGGACAGGAAGGCCTGGAGGAATGTTGTCCATGGGGTCACAATGGGTCGAACACGACTTCGCAACTAACAACAGCAACAACAACAAAGGATGCTGAGTCCTTGTTGGGCTATTTTCCCCCTTAGGTATTTTGACCCTAAGGATCATTTGAGCACTGGGATTTGCAGCTGCTTTTTCCTCAGACATATTTCATAAACTGCAAGTCTGGAAATTAAATAGTTTCCTTGGCTAAATTAGTACCCTGTGTAGCAGCAGCCTGGCCTGCCCACCTCAAAGGTTAAAGGGTGGGGTAGGCGTTTGCAGGCACTCTGCATGTGAGCAGGGGATGCAGTAGTCATGCTACAGATATACTGATATGTGGGCAGGGCCAGCTGACCTATTAAAGCTTGCTGCATCCCTGGCCGGATCCTCCTCACTCTGCATCACTCCCTCCCACTGTCCCTTTAAGAGGCAGAGTAAGGGCTTCCAGTCACATCACAAGCAATTAGAAATCCTTACACAGACTGGCTGAGCTGGTGATGGGGGCAGGGGGGTTAGGTGCTCCACACTGTGATCTGGCGAGGGTAGTTTGAGGCAGTCGCTGCCTGCGATGCCCTACATCGAACAGAAATAGTTTGCCGCGATTTGGCAGGGCTGTGCAGAGTAGAGTGATAGGCAGGAGTTTCATGAGCTCTCAGAGGCATCTTAAAAATAATGCCGGAGGGGTCATTCTTCTGAAACTAGCCACTCGGGATTGTGGAAGCTAAGGCTGGAGTGTAGGTTCCCTTCAAGGCTTCCCCTTGTCCACACAGCATCAGCTGGATTGCTCAGAGAACTGAAAGCAGTCACGTTTGTGAGAGTTGCAGACTCTCCACTGTGATCTCAGGGTCTAAACATGTCTGCCTCCTAAGATCATGTTCAGAGACCCTCCTCTGGCTGTCCCTGCCAGATATAGTGTTGCACCAAGTGGTGGCATCCTGGTGGCCTTCCACAGAGAATCAAAGGATAGGGGAATTGGAAGGGGCCAGCAGGCCATCAGGCCCAGCCCCTGCTCTGTGCAGGACTCCACCTGATACCTCATTGTGGTCTTTTCAGCATCAGGCTGATATATTTTATTGTAAGCTGTCCCAAGACACTAGTGGCGGACGGGATAGAAAAGCTTCTAATAATAAATAAATATTTGCCCAGGCTTTGAGGGCCTTCAGTTTTGTTGTTAAATGTGTTCTATTTTTGAGCTTACATTGCTCCTGGATTTTACTTGACTTCAGTTTTATTCTGCTTTAAGCTTCTAAAGGTTGTACATTCTATCATGTTACATTTTAGGCTTTTACTTTTTGTGAACCACGCAGAGAGCTTTGGCTAGAAAGTTAATACCTACTACATACATGCAATTTAAAATAATTTACCCGTTCCTCTATATCACATTGGTCTACAGGCAAGAATTAATATTTCCCGCAGTTAGAGCTTCAGCAGTAGCAGTCTGCCTGTGTACACTAATTGTGGGGGACTTGGACAGGAGAGGGTGCTGCACTCATCCCCTGCTTGTGAGATTTTGTGGGCAGCGGTTGTTTCCTGTGTGGCAGAGTACTGGACTAGAAGGACCCCTGGACAGATCCAGCAGGGCTCTTCTTGTGTTCTTCTGCAGGTGTTGGATGCTCCCTGGGCAAGACTCCCTCAATACCCACCCCCTTGGTGGATACCTTGGAAGCAGACCAGTAAGACTAATGCACTGCTTTCTGTTGTTTTCCTGCATAGTTTAGGATGTCCAAGAGCGTGCTTAGTAGGGAAAGAAAGCACTGATTCTAGAGTGGATCATGGCAAATAGGATATCCTCCAGGGGAAAATTTACCCTGCTTGTTAAGCGATAGAGATTAAGTTAGTTAAGTATATGCCCTGCTTTCCTTCATGAAGGAAGACCAGAGGTTGATGCTCTCTGAAGAATTCTATCTTGCATAAGTGCCCACGGGAACTGGGTAATTAGTCAAGCCCTGGCAGTTTGCAGAAAGTGTGCTTATTCTGCAGGTTTAGAAACCTGTCCCTGAATGAAGCAGCACCATATGATGCACCCAGTCTAGACCCTCTTCTCTTCCTGTCAGACTTCGTTGGATTAATGGCGTCTGGAGGGTGGGGAGATGCAAGGATATGCCTGTCTTCTTGATGAGTGCTGATCAGACACATGAGTATTAGCAGTGACAGTAATTAACAGGGGAAGGAAAAGCTTGTCATTATCCTGGGGGCGAGTAATCTTTTTTGGCAGGTGATAATTAATGGTCTGGCAAAGTCAGTAGACAGATAAATGTGTCAGCTTTGAGGAAAGCTCCGGAGCCTCTAAAAAAATCTTCCGCTTTCAGTTCTTCGGAGCTCCCAGGAATCCTTTGTTTTTGGCTTAAAAAAGCAACATATGTGACGGGAAGGGGGAGATGCTTCTGTAACTATTTTTGTCAAAGCTTTATCAAACTGTTTTGAAATACAGAAAAGAGTCATAGTGTGTGTGTGTTTGTTTGTTTACTGCTTTCTTTGTAAATACATTCTTTGATTGCTTTCCCAAATCATAAGTGGTACAATCCATTTTCTATGGAAGCACAAAGATACAACAGGATGTATTGCTTCATTTTGCTGGAGAAACTCACAGTGGTTAGGCAGGAAGACTGGCAGATGAGAGCACAACATTCACTGTGCACTTTTAAAAAATAAAAGGTAGTTGGGTTTGGTGTACAGGAGTTCACCTCTACCTTTGAGCTTTTCTGCAGAAGGCATTTATTGAACACTCATCATTTCCTACTTGTGCTTATTTATGGGCCTTTTTGACAATGATGTCACCATCCATTTTCACTCGTGATATTGAACAGAATGTTTGGGTATTTCTAGACCAGGGGAAAATGTGGTATTTTTTAAAGGAAGTGAAAGAAAATGCTATTTCCACTTGTGTAATTATGCTGTTCTCCCACCACAGTGCCACATAGAGGTTACATAGCAGAAAAGGAAATGTTTGTGTGTAGCACTCAGAACTCAAATCTGTGATACAGGGAAGTAGAAAACTCCTTATACTCACTCTTATGGCCTTGAACAAGTCAGTTGCCTGTCCAGTTAAGTATCAGTGGCCATTCAAATGGCCTTTCTGGGAGGCTCTGAAAGCACCCTTCGCTGTCTACAGCAAGTAGTATCCAAAGCTGTTATTTCCTCTGAAGTTACAGCTTTTCTCAGGTAAACAAATAGGAGGGTTTGAGGCAAAGGGGCTTGAGAGACAGACGATATTCTGCTTGAGTGGAGATCAGGGCCTATACTAAGAGATGGCTCAGCTGGACGGGCAGAACTTATAGCAACCTCACATTTTAGAAGCCACTAAAGCTGAAAATGTACCGTTTTTATTATGCTTCTCTTCTCTCTCTCTCTCTCTTTCAGGGGCTGACATAGTGCAATGGCTTATGAAGAATCTCAGTATTGAAGACCCAGGTGATGTGTTTATTGAATGCTGTGAACTTATCCAGGGGCTTTGTGCCATAATTTCTTAAGTTATCAAATTCACTTGGATTTTGTGCTTTGATTCGAGATTCTGGGAATGTTGCTGCTGAGAAAGATTTGGGGGAAATGACTGCAGGGTGAAATAGGTCTTGAAATGCTAGGCAACCCTAAAAGAATATTCCTTCTCTCCTTCTCTTCTGGGGTTCTCTCTGTCACACTTTAACTGGTGAGAAACCTAAGAAGGAAACGGAGATATTGACCACACATCTATTTTTTTGGTCAGCTCTTGTGTTGAGGCTGAAAACTTGAGTTGTGTTGATTATACAAGCTAAGGTAAGTTACTTATATTTTATGGCCTCAGAATATTTGCCTAAAGTTGCCTATCCTACAGCCAGCAGAAGTGTCCCGTATTCTGGGTTTGCAAACAAATGCAGAGACATTTTAGATATACAGGCAATCCCCAGGGTACAAATGAGTTCCATTCCTGAGAAAACTGAAATTTGACTTCAAATTTGTATGTAAGTTGGGTACATATAGCTGGCCATCCACAATGCCCACATATTTTTGAGGGGAAAGCTCACATACATGCACAGCTGGAAAAATTGTTTATTTATCAAATGAGTCATTTGTTTATCACATTTCTATAACCAAAACTATTTTAACAGCTATGAAAACTATAAACTACAATGTAAAATAAAGTATAGCATTTAAAATTTCAATATAAAATAGAAGTATAACTTAGCAGTGATGCTAAAATTTAAAACCCAGTAGCAGATCTCAGACCACAGAAAGTGAAAGACTAAAATGCCTGGGAAAATAGGAAGGTCTGCCTGGCAGTGGCAGAAGCACAATGAAGGCACCAAGTGGACCTCTCCAGGGAGGTCTTTCCACACCTGGACACCATAACTGTGAAGGTCCATGCTTATGGGCCATCATGGGGCTAGTGCCAGGGGTGGACACATTTGGGGACCTGAAGCCCCACATCTCAGCAGAGATGCACTGACAGGTGCTCCTTTGACTTGCTCGTCATATCGCTCATTTGCCTCCCACTCTGGCCTAGGCAACAGTGGTGGGGAGGAGAAAGTGTAGTAGATACCACTGCCTGCTTGCCCACTGGTTCTTTGCCACTCAAGCAAGCAGGTGGTAGCAGTGGCAAAAAAAAGGAGGAGCAATGCAAACTGGTGACAGTTGGGTGAGAAAACAGACTCACTAAAGGAGGCAGCCCACTGATGCTTCTCTGCACAAGGACCCTCAAAACCTGGAGCCTCCCAATTCATATGCAGACCAAATCATGTTGAAATCATCCACTGTGTCAGTGAGATTGTCACTGCTACCTGCTCTGCTGGACTCAGTGTCTGGACTTCCTTGTTGAACAACTGAAGTAATCTGGCTTGCTAGGAGATTTCTAGGGCTCTAGAAATCCAGGAGTTTTGGATGCCCTCCAGGAGTTTTGGACCTCAGCGTCCATTAACCCCAGCCAGTGGTCAGGAATGCCAGGAGATGCAGTCCAAAACTTCAGAAGGGACCCGATCAGGAAAAGCTGTTCTAGGGTATAAAGCATGTGAATATTATGAAAGTCGTTATGGATCCTCTGTCTTTATGTATCCCCTTGGATATAAAGTATCTGTAAACAATCTCAGTTGTTTACAAAGTTTGCCAACATCTTAGTTTTAATCCTGCTATAGCTTGCATTATCATGATCTTAGCATCTTTCAAATTCTGTATTCATTGCTTGGGGAGGGTTGCGGGGGGCTCCTGGGAGCAGCAGTTAAGAGAGGCAGCGTATACATTTTTAGCAACTAATTAAATAAAAATAACTGTTACTCCATTGGTAACATCAGGCTTGAAGCAGAGGAATAACGAGTGAGGCATCCTTTCTACCATCACTGGAACTGGTTGCTGCAGGAGCGCAATGTCTTCGCAACTGTTTTCTGGGGCTACCAGTAACCACACCACTGCTGATTCTCTCCTTACCCAGCAAGATCTTGCCACCCAACCTTCAAAGTCGACCATGGCTGCTGTGATGCATAATTGTTTGATGGACAATTTGTTTCATTTACAGCTGAAGCAATACACATGGGAAGTCTTATTGCAGCACAGGGATACATTTTTCCAATCTCAGATCATGTACTTACGTTGAAGGATGATGGGACTTTTTATCGTTTTCAGGTAAGACGTTTGTATAATGGATATACAGAATGGGCCAGCTTTCTCTTTGTCTAGAGAAAGAAACCTAGAATAGAGGCTACCCCTTCACATGCCATAATACTTCTAAATCCTGGCCAAACTCCTTCAGTTTAGGAATAGGGGAACATGCAGTGTTCAAAATTGTTGGAGTTCTCTGAACTCCTCTTCAAAGATCAGTTCCTTAATGTCAGTGCCCCTTTTTTCCCTATCAGGAAAATTGTACCATTTTGATTGGGAAAATGTGCATTTTAAAAAGTGTTTTTCCTGATTGAAACAGTACATTTCCTCCCATTGGTTAACACATGTGGAGGGAGGGCAAGTGATACTTGCACAATTGTACATATTCTAAAGTACACACACACAAGCATACACTTTCAGGTATGAAGAGAAGTTAGGGAAACTGCACAAACTTTCCAGTTGTTGTGTTCCTGTTCATATTTAGCGATGCAAAGAGAACATGCTCATATGAAATGAGAATAGGAACAAAATTCTAGTAAATATCTACTCCATTTTTTGACACCAGCATAGAAATGTTTGTGTTTTATTCTAAACAACCATTGTTGTTGACATTAACAGATCCATGTATCTTTTGTGGCCATTTGGGTACCATCTGAAATTCCAGTGAAGTGCTTTATTTTGATTTCCATAATTTGATTGAGATGTCTTTTTTACTGGTGTTGGTGGTGGTCAAACTGTGGATAATCCCTATGCAGTGCATGTGTTCTACTACTGTCTTACACCCTTTGCCATCTTTTGTTTATTGTCCTTTTCCTACACATTCCACCCAGTAGTTGTATTGCCACACTCATTGATGCTTGACAGTGACAAAATGTGGTATAGCAAAAAGTTGTGCTTGCTAGGTTTAGCACACACACAGCTGAAAAAATGCTCACATTCTCTTCTCCTATGCTTGGCCTTATAAGTCATCACAGTCTTCCTTCTGGAATGGCTACACCATTCTCCTCCCTCCCTCCCTCATATGGTTGAATGGGGCAGTGATGGTGGAGGTGATAATAGTAATATGGTACCCATTAATGCCCAAGTGTGAGATGATCCTCTACCATGAGAGGTGACTCTTGCCACAAAATGTTGAATGGGGAGAACCGTTCTCCATTCCTGCCTTTGTAATAGAGCACCTCTGGAAGTTGTTGCCTTTTTCAAAAGAATCGTAGTAGCTCATTTTATGTAAAAATGAAGTGATAAAAAGAATAAAAATTATCCCTCCAAGGTTAATGATCCTGAAAGCCTATCAGGTTTTCAGTTTCCTACATATCAGCAGAAAGTGCATGATTATTTTTATTATGCTTATGGCCAATCCATTATCATTTTCATTGATGATACTGATTACTGATAGGGTGCCAACCTGCACACACCGTCTGTTTAAACCATATGTCGGCTGGATCTGAGCAGCCTAACAGAGCTCTGAATTTCCACTGAACTCAAGTTTCTGGCCATCAGAATAGTATTCATGTGTATGTTAAATTCTTGGACACTTACCTCATAGTGATAAACTATAATTCTGTTTTTCAGGCTCCATACTTTTGGCCTTCAAATTGTTGGGAACCTGAAAACACAGACTATGGTGAGAATTTTGAATGGTGTCATTTTAAATGTTATGAATAATCTTAAAAGTTTGTTTGATGATTCATCTGAGAATGGTATCCTTATCTATTATATGACCTTCTGTTGTATCTTATCATTAGATGATTATGAATAGTTTAGGCTGTACATGTTTTCCCTTCTCAGAGACAGAATTGTGCAAATGGAATAGAGCTTCCCTTTGGAATGGGTGCAATGCAGCATCTCCTCGAGCAGGGGAATGATACGTCTATCAGCAAGCATGAGACAAAGTAGGGCGTTGCTGCTGGATCAATGATTACATTGACTTTAGCTTTTTCAAGACTCACAGTTAGCCACCTATAACCGTGTCTTCCAAACAGAGAACACCGGTTGGTAGATTTATGTTCACTTGGTGTAATTATGGAGCTGGAGCCCCAGCGTAGGAGGATCGGGCACATGAGAGTGTCGTTTCCAGCATTTGCAGGGACACTCGGCATGGCTATGCAGTGTTTAACACTGACTGGGCTCACGCAATCATCACTCTGGCTGAGTGCAGACAACACAACAAGCCACCTCTGGCTTAGAAGCCACCATTGTGTTGTGTGAACCAAGCCACTCTGTTCATCATTGCATTCAAACACTTTTTTCCAATCACTTTTTAAGTTAGCACTCATCCTTGCTAGTGATAAGTGCTATTCTGAACACAATTTAGTTGTCTGTTTGCTTAGAGGTAGCACACAATAATTTTACATGGAATGACAGTGTGGACATGGGGAATGGCGATGGGGGGACCACACTTACTAAGACCAGTTCACCCATGAAGCAGGGTGAAGTGTCCAAGCAAGAGGAATGGTGAATTATACTGCTTCACTCCACTTTTGCACCAGGAGATCCCACCACTGCAGCTTCTGCTGAGTGCTCTGGAGAGCCCACCAGCCTCTCTACCACCACAGCATTTGCCACAGTGACAGAATAGCTGGAGAACTCCCAAAAATAGCTGGCCATTCTCCTTCCCTTGTTCCCCACACAGGGAAGAAGCAGCTGTGTTGCTGTCTTGTGAAATCTCACCCAGGTCTCCCAAGACGTCTGCAAGTCCTCCCAGGGCAACCTGGAGAGGTTTCATGGGACCCACAGGTGGTCTTGCAAGAGCTCCCACAGGAGCCCTGCAGCCACATCTTCCAGTGGCATGACTGCATGGAGCCATTGTGGTAGCAGTGGCAAAGGTGAAGGTAAGGAGGAGTGTGCCAGAGCATCTTCTCTCTCACTGCAGGCAGAGCAAGACCTTGCGCATCAGCCCTGCTTGCTGGCCCTCCCTTTTGATCTCCATGCATTTACACACAGCTCAGAACAAAGCCTAAAGCCTACAAACATACAACTTAGATATGCACAGGTAAACTCGCTGCACCCACTTGGGAATGCTGCATTTTGACAGGTCCTCAGTCTCACATGTGACGTCTATGTTATATGAAGGCGTTCTCACAGGAACACCTAGGCAGATGGCACATTTAGTCCACCCGCTGCATTCATTTTGTACCGAATTGTGCAAAAAGAACCTTAGTGCACAGCACACTGTGAAAATTGAACAGCACAATTATTTCAGTGACCAGCACAATCATTTCAGCAGCACAGAACTGTCTAAAACCAGCAAAGTAGAAAGAAGCCTAATAAAGACCAGGGTCGATTGGGCTGCAGTTACATTTGTCTAAAGCAGTAGTTATGGATGTGGCCCCTCACCATAAAGCCTGCATAATCCATTTAACAGTGTGTATATTACTTCTGTGCAAAGGTCAGGCTTTGATCTGTGAATGAATTTGGTCTGCTGTACAATAAAGAATATAGCCTGGCTACTACTATATGTCTGGTTGATCAATAAGCTGTTATCTATCCAAAATAAGCAATCCTTTAATGATATTAGATGAAAATGGCATTTCATTGATGCATAGTACACAGACACCCAAGGAGCAGTGATAAGTTTATATTAGAAACTGGTCCCTGCCGTTGGGGAAGAAATAACAGTGGTTTATGAGCTAATAAAGCAGAGTAGTCTGTATTAAAATGTCTGAAGAGCTGAGTATGGATGCTTAAAGGGAGTATGTCAGCACTGTTATCTTTCGCTGTCTCTATGCATTATTGCTGTCTATTCCACAGCTCTCCTGCTCTTACACTGAAATGATAAAATCAATTGTTCCATTCAGCCTAGACTGTGGCAAAGGAAATGAATATACCTGTACTCATAAAATGAGGGCTTTTGGAAGTGTTTCTTCCACAGGGTGACCAAAAGCAATTTATGACCACATGCAAGAAGTCATTTTCCCCCTCACCAGGCAGCATTTATACACATGAGTTTGGGATCTGCAGTCACGGATAGAATGGAAGGCCCATAATTGCAGCTGTCATATAATGGTCATCCTTTAATAATCTCTTATTTAGCCATTATTAAGTTGACCTTGTCAATAAGAAAACTAATGGTAATTTGCTCCTGCTTTGCCTAACTCATAAACAAGTAATACTGCTGCTCTTCATTTCTTTTTTAAATTTAGAACATAATGCAACCAAGTAAACACTTCCAGTCCCTATTCATTTCAATGAGATATCTTTAAACAAGTGCTTAACACTTATGGAAAAAATATAATTTGTAACAGTGTATTCCTATACATGTCTGTAGAGAGTTCAATGAAACATACTTCCAGGTAAGTATGTATGAGATTGCTGCCTAAGTGCTTCATATTGGCTGGATTGTACCTTTATTATTTCAATTACATTTTGTTGTTTTCCCCCCATAAATACCTCAGGGCAGCTCACGGTTTTAAAAAAAAATCAACAGATACTAAAATACAATAACTGCATGAAATTACATGAGATGCATACCAGCACATTAAGCAGATTGTAGAAGAAAATCACCAACAGTAACACCAGCTAAGAAAATAAAACGCCTTTTTCATTTTTTTCCAAAAGCCATGAAAGCTGGGCTTGGTGAACCCCTCTGGAGAGGTGTTTCTACAAGGGTAGCTCCACCACAGAGAAGACCTTGTTATATAATATTGCAACTGATGGTAGAAGCAGAATCTCTTGCAAGGCCTCTCCGGATTACTGTAAGCAGATGTTATTGGAGTGGCATTTTCCATGGGTTCCAGGACCCCAACCACTGAGATAATAAGCATTAAGTAGCAAGTTTCACACACTCAGTTATATTTTTTTCAGCAGTCCGAAATCAAACGCTTCACATGGGTTCCCTCCTCCGGTCTTCCCCCCAGCTGGGTGAACGTTGGTTGTTTTGTGGCGCTAATGCAGATCAGCCCAGAATAAGACGTTATTCATCCATGATTTATTGTGAATTTTGGGCCAACCTGATGTGTACAACCTCAGTAGGCAACAGAGTTCATCTCACCCAGCTATGCCTGCCACGGTATGTGGTATGCACCAGCTGTGCTCACCTTGATACTCCATACTGCAGCGTGTACCCAAAAGTCTTCTGGCTCTCTCCAGGCTTCCCGTCCACCAATTTGGGTGGCTTGTGTCTGGTCTTGGGGCCCAGGAAAGGAGAGATTCTGTTCACTTATTACATATATTTATACCCCATCCTATCACTTCAAGCTCTCAGGACGGCTTACAAGGTATGTAAAAATACAATAGATATAAAACTACTATATAAAACATTAATTATTAAAACAATATAAAACACATTACTATAAAAATGTGACTGTGAAAAGGGGGGGTAAAATAAAATATTTTATAAAAACTTACCTCCCTCACCAGCAGTCTCCCTGCCTGAGCTGACACAAGTTGGGTGTTGGGCTTCACAATGAGGACTTGCAGGATCATATTAATATTATCTGAAACATTTCAGTCCTGACTATCTGTTCGTTAGTAATCAGTGCAGCTTATGGAGAATGAAATGACTGTAAGTAAATTCAGAGTACGAATGCCAACAACAGAACTGTAGAAACCAGATTAAAAGAGTAGCGGTAGTTCAATAAGACAGTCAGTCTTTAAAAACACAGGAAAGGCTTAACATGAACAGTAAAAGAGCAGGCATCAGAGGAAAGTCTCGGAGAAGGGAGCTGCACCAAAAAGGCCCTTTCCATATTTACTACCCAACTAACTGGAGCAGAGCTTCAGACAACCACCTTAAAGAATGGAAGGCGAGGGACACAGAATGGTGCTTGCTTTGGATCGTGCAGCAAGTTTGCGGCTGAAGACTGCTCCCAACAGAATCTGTAGAAATATGTAGTTAAGGATTTGTGGGTGATGATGGGAGAGATCCTATAAAGTTTGGCAAAGAACTGGATTTAAATACTGGGTTTTTGTTGTGAGGACAATTGTTTATGCTCGTTTGAGGCCTGCAGCTGAAATAAATGTGACTGCGGGGTGGGTCTTGCTTCCCCTGGGGCTCATTTTCATTGACTCACAAAATCTGTCATGCATAATTAGCATCAATGCCTGCCTCTCAGTTGTGCAGACTCATTGCAATTCTGCTACAGGCTGAATAAAGCCTGGACAATAGGGCATATATCCAACTGCCACCAAAGGAAAATTGGCATTTCCATCACTCTCTTAGCCAAGAAGAACTGAATTTCTGAATGTTGCTAAGAACCACTGTGAGGCAGAAGCTGCCTGATAAAAGGGCCTTCACATTTTGAGAGTATCCTAGTATAGCACCATTTGGGCAGCAATTCTATCCTATACTTACTCCTTACCTGGGAGTAATCCTCACTGAAATCCTTAGGGCTTACTTCTGAGTAGATATGTAGAGGATTCCACTTTTAAATTTGCTTTCATTTTGTGCTTGCCACTGAAATGTTTTACTCGAATAGTGTAAAGATTAAACTTTTTTCAAGTGAAATATCTGTATTCATTTGAAAAAATATTTATTTATTGAAAATATTTTAACCTGACCTTCATCCTGAGATGCTAGAGTGGTAAACAAACACAACCAAAACATCACACACATATAATCTAATGAAAACATTACAGTAAAAGCATCACAGTAAAACCCAATGAGAGTTTAACAAAGTAGAGCAAACTAAGGTCAAACCAACATCACACTTCAAACTGTCTGGGCAAATATGTACGTTCTGATCTGGTGCTGAAATGATAGCTGCTTTGGCAACAGTTGGGTTCCAGAGTGATGGCCACAGAGAAAGCATCTGCCTCGTTTCTGCACATTAAGCTTCTCCTGGCAAAGGAGTCCAGAGAACTGGCTCCTCTGTGGAACTTAAGACATAAGCAAGTAGTAAAAGATTTTCCTTCAGGTGTTTGGATCACAAGCCTTTCAGGTTTTAAAGGCAGGCACCCCTACTTTGAATTAGGCTTGGAAGTGAACAGGCATACATTATGGACCTGAAGTACAGTATTACACATCAGTATCTCAGTCTTCTGTGCACCAAAGAACCAAATTGTGCCAGGAACTGAGGAAGGACACTGTGATCATTAGTGCACAGCTTGGGCATGAATGACCAAGTTTTAGGATTTGTTTCTGACATGGACTATTAGATTCCCTAAGCACATTCGTCAAAGGAGATCAGGGACCTACAGCCACAGATGTTTTATTGTTGGATAATAAGATAAATATTCATTCTAGGCTATACAAAGTGCCCCCGCCATATTCTCTTTCCACATAGCACTTTAATTTACCTATAGCTGGGGTCCTCAAACTTTTTCTAAAGGGAGCTAGTTGACAGGTGCCAGTAGTGGGGGAAAACAGGCCGGTGTGGGGATGGGGGGCGCACACACACACGTGCACGTGAGGCGAGGCGGGGATGGGGGGCGCTCGGGGCAAGGCGTCAACTTGCTCACGAGGAGATTGTTTCTCCAAGCGAGGTCCAAAATGACCTCCTCGCGAGTAAGCCACGAGCCCACATGAGCCTGCATGTGCACCCGCTGAGTGCAAAACCTGTGGGGTGGGCCAGTTAAATGGGCATGGCAGGCCGGATCCAGCCCATGGGCCTTAGTTTGAGGACCCATGACCTATTGTACCTCAACATTGATTCATTCATGAAGTTGCAGGAAACAGCACTCTATTGTACAAAGGCCGTTCTGGGTACAGCAAAAATATTTTCCACAGAGATCTTAGTTAATGAATAAATAAACAAAGAATACACGAATAAAATATGTTATTTTAATTAAGCCTTCTTCATGAAAATCCAGGTCCACTGTTTGTATTTAGATGGGGCATGCACTGCAAAATGCACATTTAGAAAACAAAATGTATTTTCTTATATCAGATATCTGAAATAGAATTACTCAGGTTTGTGATGGAATGATCAGTTTGTTTCCATCTTTCCTGGTTGAGGTCCAAAAGATAGTTGATATTTGATGCTCGGGAACAACATTTCTAAGGGTGAAATACTAGGTGTGCTTAATTAGGGGAAAGGACCCTATATCTCAGCATTCCAAAGGCTAGCATATGAGAGTTATGGAATGTTTTTCTCTTTAAACTTGTATAGCATTCTATGTAATATTCTGTCTTCTGGACCTGGTGACATGCACCTACCAATATAGTGGCCTGATGCAAAATAAAGGGGCAGAACTGCTGCATGACAAGCTGGACCTGTTGAAATTCTTTTCTCTAAATAATTCCCCCCTTTCTCATTCGGCTACCCAACCAACTAATTCTAAATTTTGTCCAAGTTTTTAAAAAGAAGTTATCATTTGATATCAACTCCCACCCACCTGCTTATCTAGAGTGTTTTACAGTTCTGAGAGATTTTAGTTCAGACCAGGAAGCAAGATCTTCAAAGAGCATGTGCTTCTTTTTAATTATGTTTTACAAGATCCATCCAGGCAGTAAACATTGCTCTGGCCAGCAATTTCCCTGCTGCATATTCTTTCCATAATGGAAATACATAGCCCCAGAGTGTATCCACAGAAGTATCTCTGAATGAGAGCACAAACATTCCTCCATGCAACATATTCTGAGATTTGCCTGAGTTGGGTTTGCATGTAACAAGACACCTGGGCCTGGCCAGCCCCAAAGAAATAATTTCCCTTCCACCTCCAGCCCCAGCCTTGCCCCATGATTGAATAAACTGAAAAGGTGATTTTGGAGTTGTGAAAATTGCCTGCTGCAGTACGTGGGTTACATGTTATGCTGTCTGTAAAGATACACCCCTGGCAGTCGAGCAGTATGGAAGGCAGAATCATATTGAGCAAATGTCTGTGTTCGTTAAGTGTCCCTAAAGCAGCAGCTTCAGTCACACGGTTATTAAAAAATGTATGGTAAAAGTCACTTCAGAAATAGATCACTTGGGCTTTGTTGTTATGATTCCTAGCCTCTAAATTTACTCCTGTTGTGGCTGAACAGTATATACATAGTAAATCCTTCAGAGTGGTTTTTCCCTGTAACAATGACCATTTCCTTAACTGTGTGTTTTGTCATTTTTCTCTCTATAGCCATTTATCTTTGCAAGAGGACCATGCAGAACAAAGCTAGGCTGGAGCTAGCAGATTATGAAGCCGTAGGTATACTCATTTTGCAGCTCCAAAGTGCAATGCTGTCCTTTAAATGGTGTTTCCTTATTTGTGCTTTTTAAAAAAGTGTCTGTTTTGAAACTTGGAACTGGGCAATCTTGGTTCATGTTCAACTTCTAAAAGGAATGTCAGTGAAGTTACTTTTTTTCTTTAAAAGTATGCCTATGCTAGGATAAATATCAGAATGAAAAGGCAAGATCCAACTAGAGAGGCACCTTAAGGGTTCTGGCTTGTTTGTTTTTTCTTTTAACTGAATATTCATTCAGAAGAGCCCAGGTCCAGGTTGGTTTCTTCAAAAGCCATCTCTGAAATTCAGAATAGATTCTGTGCATAGCCTCCTTTGGGTAAATGTTGGCTTTTACCTATCAATGATGAAAACTGGGTAATTTTTAAGGTACTTTGACTTCCTTGAGATTTCTCTGTAAATGTCAGTGTTGATGGCATTAGATATTTAGTGTGAGGCATTTGCTCATGTATCTTGGTAAATATCAGCATTTTCCTTCATTGGTGTATATTTCCACATATGGGTTGTGGGCCTGCCCAGAGTCAGTTCCAGAAGCATTCTAGGATTGTTACTAGGGAGCTGGTGTTCTTGTTACCTTCCTTTTGAGAGAATATGTTTAATAAACTAGGCATGCCTTGAGAGGCACAAAAAATGGCTCCCTGCTCAGTTCTATTCTGCTGCAACAGTTCAGGCAAATTTCTCTTCAGTGAGCACTCCGGCTATTTTTCCTCTTGGTTATATAGGGAGCCTTCCCCTTTCCATCATCAAATTCTTGCTAGTGGGACCACAGTCCGTTTTTTCCCTCCACTGGTATCTTGTTTATGCTGCAACAGGTCTCATTCCAAAAGTAGTTTGTCTGAGTAGGGGGCATTGAAATGTCATCCACTTTGGTTGGCCACAACTGATATGTGGTATACCTACTTATTTAAGTGCCACTTAGCATATCTGAAGCTACTTCAAAGCAGTTTACAGAATCAAAGAGTAAAATACGATAACTGCAAATACCGAGTAGCACAAGGTTCAGGGAAGGCTTGGATAAAGAGATGCCTCTGTAAGAGGCACATCCCATGCCAAAGCTAGACTCTTCCATATACCGGGGTGGGGGGCATTCTGCAAGGTTGGTGCCCCCATGACTTGGTCTCCTTGAGGTACAGTGCTGCCCGTATGCCAGATATATGTGAACCAAGACAGGCATAACTGCAGAACCAGGTTTCAGTGCCACGGAGGCAGGCAGTGGCAATTGCTACTTCTGACTATCAGCCCCTATAACTAGGAGCTCTGATCAGTCTAGCTCTGGGCTGGAGTGATGCAAAAGAGCCTTGCTTGGACTTATCCCCATCCATGCCCTCCCATCAAGCCCACAGCGCAAAACATAATATTCTTCAGTACCTATGCAAGGATCCAGACTTGTTTAGATTGAAATTAGAAATGGGCTCCCTCTGCCCCTGTGGATCCCTGACAGAAGCCCAAGAAAGAAGAAATCCACACTGAGTGTACACCATGATCCTCTTCTCCACTTTCTCTGTTTCTCCCATCTGGTTGTCTCATCAGTGGGCTTAACCTTGGTTCCCACTTACCATTTGTGGGTGTCTGGCTGGCTGCTGGTGCACTCATAAAGGCTTTTGATCTGATCCATTAGGAATCATAACTGAACTTCTTGCTAGGTTGTTATAACCAGGTTATCTTCATGGCTGGGAGAAAGATCATCCATACTTAACACACAACAGCTCACAGACACACAACATGCAAGGGTTTTCCTATTTACTTGCTTGGGTAGGGGGGAAATGACAGTGCTGAAAGAGCCACATCTGGAAGCATATACAAAAAACAAGTAATACAACTCTTACAATGGTAGGACATCCGGGTTCTTCCAATCTTTCAGTGCCTGTTAGCTGCACTAGAAATTTATTCTAACATAGCTTGGCAGTTGAATGCAGGACTAATTCTAATCACCAACCAAGGCATAAAAAAATCGTCACACACTCTTTTATAATTTTCCAGGGCTTTCATTCACACACATTTCCACCTTCATTATTTATAAACCCAGTTATACATTTACGCATACTATCAGCTAGTCAATTGTGTGAGGTACAAAGGTTCTTTATGAATCAACAAAACGTCTATTCAGCACCAGCAGTCATGCTTGAGTGTACATGCAGAGAAGGCATGGTACTAAATACAGTACCCCCAAGCCTTTTGAAAGTGATAATCATCAGACAATGCCAGACAATTAGATCATCTTTCATTTTCTTCATGCAAATAACTCACGTGATGAGTGACCATATCAACACTTGCCCCGTTAATGAAAGAGAAGGGTGGCACATGGGTTTAATAGAAGCTTCTGTTAAAAGGAAAAATGCTATTTTTTAAAGGGGGATTGTGCTTTGTGTGGTTCCACACAAAACACTGAATGTGTTATTGAATAATCTATTCTTCTATTTCTGCATTTCTTTCCCTATCACTATGGGTCTGATCACAGGGTAGCCCATTATGATCTTTTTTCCATTACATGCAAAATTTCAGGATATTTATGAGTCTGCCGAAGTTTTCTTCCTGAGCCCCAGTATGCAATGTGATCTTCTTTCCGCATATCTGCCTTTCATCCTTCCCTCCTGTCACCTCTTCTCCACTGGTATTTCTGGGTGCTTCCAGATGAGATACCTATCCTGTAATTGCCTTCACTCATTCATAGAATTTTATCGGGGCTTCAGGCACTGGCCTTGTCAACTTTTATAAACCTTTCTGTGTATTCCTACTTTTTCTTTCATCTGTTTTGAAAAAAATCCGTTAAAAGAGGAAAGACAGAGCAGCTGTGCAATGTACTCTGATGGGTAACCCAAGAGCCCTACATGTAGAAGCATCCTTTTGTCAGCCAGTAATTTAACAATAGCAACAAAAAAGGCAAATAACAAATGGCTGACATTGTTCTAAGCACTTTTCTCATAGCTTGAGTATTTCTCACCTATGAGTATGAGTTGGTGGCCTTTGACCAAGTCTTTGTGCAAGTTTGCTGGCCACTTTTACAGTTTTATGCTAGAATACCCGATCTGAGGCAGCACAGATGTATGTGATTACATTTCGTACAGACTACCTGGAGGTATGACTCAGTTTACATCTGCCTCTGGGTTGTAGACATCAGGGTTCCATCAAAAAGCAATATATCCCACAAGCCTGAAGCTGCCGCACCCCTGTTGAAAAGGCCTTTAGCCTGCACAGTCTGGCTCATGAGAGATTTATCTAAACTTACTAATCAGTCTACTATGGTACCTAGCTCATGACATTTGCTCATACAGGCCAACTTACCATTTAGGACACAAAAGGGAACTCTGTTAAATTAATCTGAATTGCTTCAGTTGGGCAAGAACTTTATTAGGAGTGACCAAAATTGGTTAAGAGGTATCCCTCTTGTGGCATAGTTCAATTCAACAATTATTGAAATAAGTAAGGAATACCGAAGAATTGAGGCCTTTGAATTGTGGTGCTGGCGGAGACTCCTGCGAGGCCCTTGTACAGCAAGGTGATCAAACCAGTCAGTCCTGGAGGAGATCAACCCTGACTACTCTTTAGAAGGCCAGATACTGAAAATGAAACTCAAATACTTTGGCCACCTAATGAGAAGGAAGGAGTCCCTGGAGAAGAGCCTAATGCTGGGAACAATAGATGGCAAAAGAAGAAGGGACGGCAGAGGATGAGGTGGCTGGATGGAGTCCACTTAAGCTCACACCAACTGCTTCAGTGACTCCATCCAG